CGCTTCGTGGCCCCATAGGGAGCTCCACCGAAGGCCCCAGTGCTGCCGCCCGCATGCGTCCCGCACACCCATTTCGGCACACCCCTCACGCGTTTCGTGGCCCCATATGGAGCTCCGCCGGAGGTCCCAGTGGGTGTGCCCGCATGCGGTCCGCACACTCATTTCGGCATACCCTTCACACTTTTCGTGGCTCCATAGGGAGCTCCGCCGAAGGCCCCAGTGGGTGTGCCCGCATGCGTCCTGCACACCCATTTCGGCACACCCCTCACGCGTCTCGTGACCCCTCACACGTTTCGTGGTCCCATAAGGAGCTCCACCGAAGCCCCCAGTGGGTGTCCCCGCATGCGTCCCGCACACCCATTTCGGCACACCCCTTACACGTTTCGTGGCCCCATAGGGAACTCTACCGAAGGCCCCAGTGCTGCCGCCCGCATGCGTCCCGCACACCCATTTCGGCACACCCCTCACGCGTCTCGTGGCCCCATAGGGAGCTCCACCGAAGAAGATATTCACAATTGCGGTATTCACAATTGCATATGCTTGGGTCCTTCGCCAGGAGAACTGCATGTTTTTTGAATCTTCTGTTTTGCGCCCAGAATCCGCCTGTAGGAGGACACGCCCGACCTCACGATCCATTCGGAACGGAGGCGCCCCGCCGTTTGCTCGACCGCTCGTTGGACCCAGCTCGCCGCAGACAAGAGTGTGTGCCGGTTGCAAAGGAGCGCCCCGTCGCCAGGGTGGCCAGGCGTTTTCGTGGATGTCCTCGACGGTCCGAGCGCTTTTCCTGCGCTTGTTCGTCGGGTCCCAAGGGTATTTCCAGCCTCGGGGTGCTTTCTCCAGCAGCTGCGCCTCGCCGGGAGCGTTTCGTGGGTGTTCGCGTCGTGCCGAACGGCCGTCGGGGGCCCGACGTAGGACCCGGAGGCCAGACTCAGAGGTTTCGGAGGTGTGGCCCTTCGCTGGAGTGATGCCTTGTGCGGGCCCACCAAGGGACCCCCGATCGCTGAATGCGTTGCGACAGCAGCGGCCGGAGACTGTTTACATGGAAGCTGGCGAAAGTGACCGGGGCCAGGCCTTCCACTCTTTTCATCCCTGGCCAGTTTCCTTTGATTGTTTTCAGCCCGCACGACCGCATCCCTATTGTTTCAGGCTCGTTTCACCCACTGCCACCTTCTCCAGCCCCCGCCACTTCCACTTTCACTGATTGTCCAACTTCCACTTTCTCCGGCTTCCTTCTGAGGGTCCGGCGACGCCCCGAGTTATCAGGGAGGGCGCGCCACTGGATTACCCAGAGGGGGGCAGGGGGTTCGGAACCCCAGCCCCCCCCCTTCCCCCCTTTCCCCGATCCGTCGTCCAGGACCCCCCCCCTCCCCGCCCCCTTCCCGATCCATCGCCCTCCCCCAGGCCCGCCCGTCCCTCCCCCCCTCTCCCCCCCGGATGACCTGACCTTGTCGGTTGCGCATATCCAGAGGGGGTGCGCAGTGTTGGTGCGCGCGGGCACGCGTGGGGCTTCCCCAAAGTGGAGAAGTTAGACTATCGGCCGGCACCTACTCCCCCTCCACCGAATAACCTAGGCTATCGCCGAAGACAGGGCGATTTCTTTCAAGCAGTGGCGAGGCGTCCCGGCCCGCCTAAAAAGGCCCACCAAAGAATGTCCTAAGAACCTTCCTAGTGGTTTGCACGAACTATGAAAAGAACGTATCTGGCTGATTCTGTCCTGTTTCAACACATCGGGCTTATGCTATAAGAATGTGGTGGTTGTTACTAGAACATATTGGGGTTCGAAGAAGATTCCGTGGTGGGCCTATAGGAATGCCGGGACGCTCGGTCCCTGCTAAATTCTTGCGCACATGGGATTCGTCCCCCACGCCGCTCCCCTCCATGCAGCCGCTCTCCAGGGGTCCTTCTTACCCAAGAGTCACTCTTGCTTGTGGCCGGCAGAGGCGCCAGGGAGGCGCGGCCTTCTGATAGGATCTCAGAGGATTTGATTTTTGACGCGCCTCGGCGTCGTCGTCCTGTTTTTCATTCGGCGTCTCCGGGGTCTCTCGTCAGCATGGCTGGGCGCGGCTCGGAAAATTGATTGGGATGGACCGCTGGAAGGGTCCGTGGATTGGCTTGGTTTTGCTGGTCAGGATTGTGGCGCTGCCTATACAAGCAACGTGTTTCTTTCCTCCTGCGCACGAGATTGGACCTGAACCAGCGGCCACCATCTGTATGGCATGCGGGGCGACCGACCTGCACCCGATGCTTGATCGCGCAACCGCGTGCTGGACAGTTTTGCCATGAGCGGTTCCGGGGCACGGCCAGGTTCTGTTCCAGGACGCGCGCAGATGCCAACGTCGCGTGGGCGACGGGAGAATGCGGCGTCGTCTTTGCCGACCCTGGCGAGCAAGCTGCCCGCATGAGGCCGCGCGGAAGCCCCATCGCTTCCGACGTAGCGAGCCGCGCCGGCGGCCCGCGCAAGCCGCGGAGCAAGGTCGCTGCGACGCCCCGCGTGGGACCCGCGTCGTCTCGCAGCCGACGTGCGGAGGCCCCCCAATACTTTCTCGGAAGCCTCCCGGCCCCTGCCGTCGGCATCACCCCCGCCTGCTTCCACCACGCCTGCGCCGCCCCCCCCCCCCTACAGTCGGGGCGTTGACCTAAGGAACCCTGAATCAGGAACGAGGCCCCTTTTTTCCCTAACTTCGACTTCCGACCGAAAACATAAGGGAGACCTGAGGCAAGCTGTGAAACACTTAAGGAACGCGGGGCCCCTCCCCAACCAAAAGGGTTCCTTCTTCAGGGCCCCGACTGTAGGGGCGGCGCGCTCGCCCCACCGATTTTGCAGCACAGGATCGGTGGCGGGCGCGGTCTGGCCATACCGCCTGGGTAACGCTGCGCTGTCAGATGTTTTGTGCCAGGTGCTCGGCTCGGACCTGCGCCGCTGCAGGAGATTTGTCCTCCTGTGCGATCCGTAGCCAGAGCCTCGCGGGCCGGGCCCGTGGGCCGCGAGGCCGTGGCTGCGCGGCGTGATGCCGCGGACGCCCGTGCGGCACGTGTCCATGCGACCGCGCATCCACGAGCTCGCCCTCTGGGGTCCAGTCCGCGAGGGCGTGGATGTGGACGCGTTCGCTGCCTGTGAAGCCTCCAGCCCCTTCCGAGGAGACCCCCGGCCTCTTGGAGAAGGCCGCCCCGCTGGAGTTGTTTGATGCTGTTGTTGTTGTTGTTGTTGTTGTTGTTGTTGAACATTCTTTATTCTAAAGAATAATTATTGTTGGGCCCCCTGGTGCGCGCCCCCCCTGCGCCGCCTAGGCCGCAGCTACATTTTCATCATTTTCGTGAGGACGCCTCAGAAAAGAGGGTGTGTACAGGATACGGTTGTTTTGTTGTAATCCGCTTTCCCTTGCAAAAAACAATAGAAAAGGACATTTCTTGTTCTAATATAATCAAATTTCAAGAATCCCTTGCAAAAAATAAGGTAAAGTGGACATTCGCGCGCGCAAGACGAAATCCTTCCAAAACCTTAGTGTTCGCAGCGATTTAAACATAAAAACATAAAAAACCAATGGTTTTTCAACAAAAAATTGTCAAAATCTCATCCCGCGCGCTCTTGCGGATTCGTAGGAAACCCAACACTGTTTAAACATTTCTGTCAAACGGGCTTTTGCGAGCAACTTTTTCGAACTTCTGCGACAACGGTTGCGCACCTGCCAGGGCCATCATCCCTGTCAAATAATACCATGCGGGACACATTCGTTTTTCTTCGCGCGCGCACGCCGTCGTCGTCGGCCGCGGGGCCCTGAATAGTAGCCACGGTCGTCCGCATGCCACGAAGTGAAGTGTCCGAACGTCATGGGGCGGGAAGCTGGGTGTGGGTGGTGGCGAAGAGTCGTTTGGAAATTTGGTAGAGCTTGAAACGGCCCCCCCACAAAGTGGGGGTATTGCCCGCCTCCTATGAAAACCCTGGCACTGGTGAGAACGGAGTGTCCCCACGTGCTAGTAATTGTTGTTGAACATTATTTATTCTAAAGAATAATTATTGTTGGGCCCCCTGGTGCGCGCCCCCCCTGCGCCGCCTAGGCCGCAGCTACATTTTCATCATTTTCGTGAGGAAGCCTCAGAAAAGAGGGTGTGTACAGGATTCGGTTGTTTTGTTGTAATCCGCTTTCCCTTGCAAAAAAACAATAGAAAATGACATTTCTTGTTCTAATATAATCAAATTTCAAGAATCCCTTGCAAAAAATAAGGTAAAGTGGACATTCGCGCGCGCAAGACGAAATCCTTCCAAAACCTTAGTGTTCGCAGCGATTTTAACATAAAAACATCAAAACACCAACGGTTTTTCAACAAAAAATGTCAACATCTCATCCCGCGCGCTCTTGCGGATTCGTAGGAAACCCAACACTTTTTAAACATTTCTGTCAAACGGGCTTTTGCGAGCAACTTTTTCGAACTTCTGCGACAACGGTTACGCACCTGCCAGGGCCATCATCCCTGTCAAATAATACCATGCGGGACACATTCGTTTTTTCTTCGCGCGCGCACGCCGAAATCTCCAAAAACCATTGGGCTTCTTAAGAATTTTAGCACCGCGCATCATAAAATCACACGAATCGCACCGTAGGTCCTCGAATCGCACGAATCGCACGATGGTATTCCCACATCCCTCAGGAATTTGCCCTAAAGATGTGATCAACTATCTTGTGAGTACGTATCATGTGTATCATGTGTATCATGTACCATATGCATCATATGCAACAGATGTTCTGTGGAAGGCTTAACAACTTCTGTGGGTTAACAAGGCTTAACAATTTCTGTGGGTGTACGAACGTAGGCTTAACAACTTCTGTGGGTGTGTACTCCACGCCAGTGTAGTAGCCACGGTCGTCCGCAGGCCACGAAGTGAAGTGTCCGAACGTCATAGGGCGGGAAGCTGGGTGTGGGTGGTGGCGAAGGGTCGTGTGGATATTTGGTAGAGCTTGCACTGCCCCCCCACAAAGTGGGGGTATTGGCTGGCGTCGCATGAAAACCCTGGCACTGGTGAGAACACTGAGCGATCGGGTAAAGTGATTGTTGTTGTTGTTGTTGTTGTTGTTGTTGTTGTTGTTGTTGTTGTTGTTGTTGTTGTTGTTGTTGTTGTTGTTGTTGTTGTTGTTGTGTTGTTGTTGTTGTTGTTGTTGTTGTTGTTGTGGGACCAAGAAACAGCAAAAACACAAAAACACGGACTGGCGATAGCCCGTGCTTTTGGGCCCGCCCGCCCCTCCCTTGACGCCTGCGCAGGCCCGAAGAGGGGCACAGCCATCAGAAACCTCAAGAGGAAAAAGCGTCAGCTCTCCTTCCGTGAGCGATTTGATTTGGTTCACGTAGATCCAGCATCTGGACTGGGCCCTGGGCGTTTTCTTGACGCGTGTCCTTCTCCGTAGACATGATGTCGTCGACCTGGACCCGGCCTACTGCTTGAAGAGCACGCCTAGGAGTGCACATCATGCTCTGCGCCGAACAGGTCCTCAACTCCGAGCGGAGGTGCACGCGGTACCCGTCCGCGCGCGCAGACGCGGGGCTGCCCACATCGCAAAGGTTCTCGGCAGGCCCCCCCCCCCCAACGGGGCCATCGCCGAAACGGACTGGGACGTTGCGTAAAGGCGCTTGCCCTCGAGGATCGACGTGGCTGTCACCCCTTCGCCGCGGAAGGGCGGCGGGAGGTCGGCGGCAGGGAAAAGGAGGCCGACTCCGCCGGCGGGAAGCCGGCGCGAGGGCCGGCGGAAGGCGGCGGGAGTAGAAAGACCTCCTCCTCCTCCTCCCCCTCCTCATCCCTCCCCCTCCTCCTCCTCCTCCTCCTCCTCCTCCTCCTCCTCCTCCTCCTCCTCCTCCTCCTCCTCCTCCTCCTCCTCCTCCTGCTCCTCCCCCCCAGCAGACGAAAGCGTTTTTGGGGCTCGGGGCTTCCGAGAGCGGCCCATCGGGCCCTCGCCGAAGGTTGATGACGAAGGTGTGGCGGGAGGGAAAAGGAGGCCGCCTCCGCCGGCGGGAAGCCGGCGCCAGGGCCGGCGGAAGGCGGCGGGAGTAGGAGGAGGCGCCCCCAGCGGACGGAAGCGTTTTTTGGGGCTTCGGGGCGTCCGAGAGCGGCCAATTGCTGTAGGCCATCGCCGAAGGTAAAGTGACGACCTCCGGCGCTCTGCCCCCCCCCCCCCCACGTCCGCGCTCCGCCCAGGCCTGCCGCGGCTCGACGCGGGCGCTGTCGGGCCATTACCGCCCGGGTGGCGACATGTACTTGGGCGCCCGAGTTATCCGGGGTAACTCGGGTCCGGGGTACCTCGGGTTTGGATTCCCGAAGAAGGAACCCGAGTTGGCCCTGACCCGAGTTACCCCTGATGATGTGGGGCTCTGGACGCCCGAATTATGCGGGGTAAGTCGGGTCCGGGGTAAGTCGGGTTCGGAATCCCGGAAAACGGACCCGAGTTAGCCCTGACCCGAGTTACCCCTGATGATTCGGGGCTCTGATATACTGTGCTCTGTTTGTGCTACTCTCGGCTCGCCCGTGCGCCTCCAGGACGGGTGCCTCGTGCCATCGGCGGCCAGCCCAGGGGCCTCCATTGGAAGGCTCGGAAGCCCCCCCGGCCTTCTGGGAAGGTCCCTTTGGCCTTGCCCGAAAGCACAGAAAGCCGCCCAGAAGGCCCGAGGGCTTCTGAGAAGCCCAGCGTCCTTCTGAGAGGGTCTTCTCCTCCTCAAATTCCCCCCTGGGCGCGCCGCCGAATGTGGTTTTTGCGTCACAGCTCGGGTCTCTGGCAGCCGTTCGGGACGATCCTGGCACCCCCAGAACGCTCTCGCCGAGTCGCAGCCGCTGGAACACACCCAGGGCCAGAAAACCCTCGAAAACGGACCGAAGCGCCCGAACACCTCGAGTCTCGCACCCGACACTCCCCCCCCCTCGCTCGCTGCCGATGCATGCCGTGCACGTCCTCCCGCGTCCCCTGTCGCACGGCTCCCTGCCCTCCTGCGAGGCCGCTCCCCGGTGCCCTGCCCCCGCCGCCTCCGCGCCGCCCAGGCCTGCCGCGGCTCGACGCGGGCGCGCCCACCGATGCGGGCGAGGCCGCGCCGGAGCCGGTGCCGGAGTGCGTGCCAGGCCCGCGGCCGCCGAACGGCGCCCAGGGCACTGTATGGCTGAGATGGTGCACTGCACACCGGGATGGCCGTGGGGGTTTCTAAGTGGATAGGGGGGTTGCAACTGGATGCCAAGGTGGGTTACATCTGGCCCAACCTGGCTTATAAGTGGGTTACAGGTGCCCTAAGTAGCTTAGGGGACTTGTAACCCACTTAGAAGCCAGGTTGGACTAGATATAACCCACCTTGGAATCCACTTGTAACCCCCCTATCCACTTAGAACCCCCCACGGTCATCCCAGCAGTGGGGGCGCGCATCAAGAAGCCATCTGCTTTTCGTCAGGGCATCCTGGGTTTCTGTGCTCCGCGCGCTGCACGCTGGCTTCCCGCAGCCGCTGAAGCAGCTGCTGCGTTCAGGGCGCTCTGGGTTATGCCCTCGGGTGCACCTCCGCGCGGGTTTTCAGGGTTGGGTTTCTTGCGAGGGTTTCTTGCGGCCGCGCTCGCACTGTATGGGCGAGATGGTGGTCACCCCCGTCGAGCTGCCGTTGCAGACATTGTTTGGGCGAAGGGCAGTGACGCCAACGCCGTGGCGGGAGGTTCTGGGCAGGAGGCGGGCTGGAGCATTGTCGGACGAGGGGGGGCTTCTGTCCGATGCTGTCAGTTGTTGCGCCCTCCCCTTCCTCTCTCACTTTCTTCCCTTCAAGTGTACGTTGAAACAACAAGCAGCATGTGATCGTTGTCTTATTCACTGTTTTGCCGATCGGCGCGGGCCCTCGCACTGTTTCAAGCAGGTCGAGTCTCCCCCATAGGACGCACTGCTGCAAACTGCAAACGGTGGCATTAAGCAGAGGTATGGACCCAGACCACCCAGCCCTCCCCCCCTCTTCCGCCGAATGCCGAAACGCCGAATCAGAAACCGCTCGCCATGTGGACGGAGGAAGGTGAGGGGAGAAGCAAGAGAGAAGGAGGCCGATGAAGGCATGAGGAGGAGGAGGAGGAGGAAGAGGAGGAGGAGGAGAAGGAGGAGGAGGAGGAGGACGAGGAGGAGGAGGACGAGGAGGAGGAGGACGAGGAGGAGGAGGAGGAGGGGAGGAGGAGGAGGAGGAGGAGGAGGAGGGAGGAGAGGGAGGAGAGGAGGAGGAGGAGGAGGAGGAGTAGGAGGAGGAGGAAGCGGATGTGGAGGCAGAGGGGCGAAGGCGGATGCGAAGGACGACGAGGGTGAAGCGGGAACGCCAGCTACCGTGCCAGGCTTCCGGGAGGCCGCCGAGGGGGCCCAGCGCGCTATGCACGACTTCCGCCTTCGCCTGGACGGCTGCCCCCTGCCCTGTCTCCCGGTCCTCCTCCTCCTCCTCCTCCTCATCTCCTCCTCCTCCTCCTCCTTTGTCCTTCATCCTATCCTCCTTCCTCCCCTCCTACCTTCTCCCTCCTCCTTCTCCTCCTTCCTCCGCCTACCACCTCCTCCTCCTCCTCCTCCTCCTCCTCCTCCTCCTCCTCCTCCTCGTCTTCCTTCTCCTCCTTGTCTTCCTTTTCCTCTTTTCCTCCTCCTCTTTCTCCTCCTCCTCCTCCGCAGGCCCCTGGCGGGCCTTGCACCTTGGAGGTTCTCGAGCGCGGGGCGTCGGTCACGTGCTAAAGTGCGACGCGCGCGGTTTTCGCGTCTTCGGCTTCCCCGGGGGCCGTCAGAAGAGAGCAGCTCGCGGTGGAGAGCCGGCCCTGGCCCCAGCTCAGCTCCGTCGGCCCGCGTCGCGGATGAGGTCGTGGCGTCGGGTCGGAGGGCTGGGGCACCACCCCTCCTCGAGGGGTGAGTGGCCGCACGATCGCGGGGAGGAGAAGCGACGCCACCAACACCAGGGGGGCCACTTCCAGCGAGGAGGTCCATGGTGCCTCCCCGACCTGGGGCCAGGGGATGGCTCGAGCGAGGGGGGGAGGGGGGGGGCACGCCACCAGGGGGGCCCCGCCTGGCTTCTCCCGCTCGCTGGTGGTCCCTGGTGCTGGTGCTGTCGCTTTCCCGTGTTCCTGCATCAGGGGGGAGGGGGCTCAGACACCCGGCGGCTCGACTGTCCGGAGCCGGGGGGCGCTCCACAAAGGGCCTCGCCTGCGAGGGATCGAGAGGCTGCCTCCTCTTCCCCGGCGGAAGGCCGGTGGACGGTGGCGGAAGTGAACCTCGAGGCCGCCGACGCCAGCGGAAGTTGGCGGAAGCAAACATCTGTGCTCCAAGAGATGGCACCTTTTGGGTGTTCAGGGTTTCCTCAACCCGCGATGGGCGCCGGGGCCTCTCGACCGGTCCGCTCCACCTGGACGGGCTCTTCATCCCGAGTCGCGATGTGGTGGCCCCGGGGCACGAAACCAGCCTGCGAGGCCCAAGGCGGCAAGAATCTGGCAGTCTCTCGTTTTTTCCCCGCAGCTCCCTCAACGTATATCCATCTCTACAGGGCGCCACGGTCCCGGTGCTGTGGCGACGGCTTGGCTTTGCTGCATCTCTGCTGTGTGATCTCGGTGGGGTTCTGCCGGCAGGGCAGCAGTGCCCCCGCAGGTCCTTAGACGCCCACGTCTCCATTGCATACCTCGCCGCGTGCCAGCGATGCGGGCGATCTTGATCGTGCAGTGATGGCCGGCTTCCCCAGCACAGGCAGCACCCGGGTGTTCGACTTCGTGGTAATGATTTCAATGATTTCCACAGATAGGAGGGCGCTGCGCCTCACAGTCGCGCGCGATGTCTGGCGTACGGGCGGAGTCAGCGGCGCAACTTGCCTCAAGGGCTGTCGGGGTGCGCGTCGCGGGGGCCCGCCCAGCCGAGGCACGTCCTTTTGTAACGCACGCTTCCTGGAAGCCCTGGAAGCATTTCCCCCCTGGTACGTCCGCAGTGCGAACCGTCTTCGCGTTCTGAAAGCCTGCTGCTCCTGGTGTGGCGCCCCTCTCCCACGGGCAATGCCCACAGGACACGTCGCGGTGGCGCGACTCCCTGCTCATCGAAGAGTGTGCGCCGCCAGGGGGGATTGTGCGAGCGCGGCAGGGCAGCCGTTGGCCAATCGAATTTGCGTGTCAGGATGTACGAGGATGTGTGCTTGATGTTTCGCGTGTCCCCACGAGTCCATCCAGATTGAGTATGAGGCCAGTTGTCCTGAGAAGTGGATCGCACTAGTTGCACAAATAGGGGCGCTTTTCAATGCAAAGGCAGGATCAGACTGCGCAACCACCCAGGTGGCCAACTTGGGGGTTTTCCGAGGCCCTCTTAGAGCCCACCAGGGGTCAACCATGGCTTTCTTGGGGCTCGCCCGGTGTGCGCTGAGAGCTTGGTCGGAAGAGGTGGAGGAGGATGAGGAGGAGGATGAGGAGGAGCAGGAGGAGGAGGAGGAGGAGGGCCTTGACATCTTTCGATGTTTTTTTTTTCCAATCCGTAGCCCCAGAGGTCCCAACTTCTTGATCGGGGGCGGTTGTACGCCCCTGATCAATTTTTGATGGCCCTGGGGCTCGTCAACGGCCCACGAGGGCCGACGTCGACGAAAAACGCCCGGATTGAAAAAACACATCGGCGGAAATGTGGGGAGGAGCGAATCCCCCCTAGCCTGTCGTCGTCGTGCGACCAGAGCCTCGGTGCGGAAGGCTTCGGGTGGCGCGCAGGCCCTGCCCTTCCCCAGGTGGCCCCAGCTGGCCTCAGCAGGCCCCCCCGAGGTCGCCCCAGTTGGCCTCACAAGAACTCGGGGGTGGACAGAACCCCCACCCTGACGCGTCGATTAGTGTGTTGTTGTCCGTTTTCGGTTCTCGAGAGGGCGCCGCGGCCGTCATTTTCCAGGCTTGCGCACGCCAGGTTTGGGCCAGAGGTCGTTTTCACCGAGCCACGCTTCACGAAAGGGGGCTCTGCCCCCCCCCCGAAGCAGCCCCCCGAGCAGTGCAGCCCGGGGCGGCCTCGACACCCCCACCCCGGGGCGCGCAGCGTCGCGGCGCGCCCGGGGCGCTCCGCGCCACACGGGTGGGGCGTCGAGGCCGCCCCGGGCCGCTCGCGGGGCCCGTGAAGCCCAGCCGGGACCACCTGAAGGGGGGGGACCCTTCAGGCGCCGCGTAACGCATCATGGGTGGGTCATAAGTGGGGGGGTGGCGAGGGTGGTTCGAAAAGGTACCCAAACGGTACCTAAACGAGGCCCCTGGGGCTCTGGAGGGGCCCGAAAGGGGCACGAAAGGGGACCTTTTTCTGACCCCCCCCCCGTTTATGACCCCCCCAGTAAGCCACGCCCAAGACCTGTTGAGGCCAGCTGGGGCTGCCGGGGGGGCGGGGCTGCCTGTGCGCAGGCCGGAGCCTTGCTGTCGGGAACTTTTGGTCAGCGTGCCGCGCTTCGGCGCGACCTTCTCTCCGTGGCCTGGCTCAGAGGCATTCGCGTCCCACGCCTTTCCCAGCCTCCTCCCCCCCGTGCGGGGCCCAAAACTATACACCACCACCACCTCCCTCCCCACCTCCCTCTCGCTGGAGCGAGAAGAGAGGAGGAGTCGACGTGGTGGTGGTGTACATTCTTGGGGCCCCCACCCCCGCGGAGCGGAGCGACACGACATCCACTCGCACGGCATACACGGTGGGGGCCTTGGTGAAGGAGTGTGCCCGGGAGGCTGCAGACCCTGGGGGCTCACTTATCTGATGAGGGCGGCGATGACACCCGTGGCCTTCAGTCGGGCCTGTCCCTCTGCAGGGGGGAAATCCAAAAAATAGGCAACAACTAGTCTGGGGGCCACTTTGGGAGTATTTTTGTTTTTCATGTTGGAGCATTTTTGTGGCGTATCTTTTTTATTTTTCGTCGAAGATCCCCCTGTATGGGGGACACGCCTTACTTCACCGTGGCCTTCTCTAAGACTTCCTTATCCAATGCGCCTGCCGTGCCATTCCGACTCGGTGCCCTCCCTCCGCGCGGGCGCCGTAGGGGGGGGGGAGAGCGGGCCCGGCCGCGCTCCCGGGCCGGCCTGCCCCGATCCCCCCCGCGAGGACGGCCTGGTGTGCGAGTCGCTCGGCGCCGACCCCGTGGCCTCTCCCAGCGGGGGTCGTCGTCGTCGTCGTCGTCGTCGTCGGCGTCGTCGTCGTCGTCGTCGTCGTCGTCGTCGATGCCGCCGCTGTCGCCTCCGCCGCTGGCGTCATCGTCGCCGCCGCCGCCATCGACGTCGCCGCCTCCGTCGACGCCGCCGTCGTCTTCGTCATTGTCATCATCGTCGCCGCCGTCGTCGTCGTTGTCGTTCTCGTTGTCGTTTTCGTCGTCGCCGTCGCCGTCGCCGCCGCCGTCGCCGTCGCCGTCGCCGTCGCCGTTGCCGTCGCCGTCGCCGTCGCCGTTGCCGTCGCCGTCGTCGTCGTCGTCGTCGTCGTCGTCACCGTCGCCGTCGTCGTCGTCGTCGTCGCCGCCGTCGCCTTCACCCTCGCCGCCGCCATCATCGTTGTCGATGACGAGGAGGACGAGAGGGCGCAGTGGGCGGCATTCTTGTTGGGCGAAGGAGAGAGGATTGTTGAGGAACAGGAGCATACGGGACGACGACGATGATGATGATGATGGTGATGATGATGGTGATGATGGTGATGATGATGATGATGATGATGATGCTGTCGATGTCGATGATGAGGGTGATGCTGATACTGATGATGATGCTGTTGCTGATGCTGATGATGGTGATGATGATGATCTCGAGGGTTATGCTGCTGATGATGATTGTGATGATGGCGGTGGTGTTGGTGGTGATGATCTGATGATGATGAGGATGATGGCGACGTCGATGATGATGATGGCGATGATGCTGCTGCTGCTGATGATGATGGTGATGATGGTGGTGGTGTTGGTAGTGGTAGTGGTGCTGCTGAACATATTGCTGATGATGATGGAAGGGATGTTGGTCATGCTGATGATGCTGCTGATGATGATGGTGATGATACGTATGATGATGTGTTGTTGCTGTTGTTGCTGTTCTTTGTGATGATGGCTATGAGGAGGAGGCGGACGAGAAGGGTGATGGTGATGATATTGCAACCGTAAGAGATGATAATCATAACCATCATGACGATGCTGATGCTGATGATGCTGTTAGTGGGGATGTTGTTGATGATGCTGCTGCTGATGATGCTGATGATCATGATGCTGCTGCTGCTGCTGATGATGATGAGGATGATGATGATGATGGTGATGGTGATGATGATGATGATGATGATGATGATGATGATGATGATGATGATGATGATGATGATGATGATGATGATGATGATGATGATGCATATGATGATGCTGATACTGCTGATGCTGCTGATGATGATGTTGCTGCTGACGATGATGGTCCCCAACTAGTGGCGCGAGCGTCGGGAGCGCTTCGCACACCTCCCGCGCAGCCTTCCCCAGCCCCCGGACGGTAGCTGCGCCAAACGCAGTAGCTGCACGAGCGAACCCCAGCGCCGCGGCGACGAGGAAGGATCCCGGTCTCCCAGAGGGCAAGGCTCCGGTCTGGCCCCCCCGTTTCCTGGGGCCAGCAGGGGACACGACCAGGGCCCCGCCACCGCACAGGCCCGTGGGCCAGGCGGCCAAGCGCACCCGCCCCCAAGGGAGCGCCCACCGCTATGATGCGGTTGATGACGATGATGCTGCTGACGATCGGGGCCCCGCCAGGCGGCCAAGCACACCCACGCCCAGGGAGCGCCCACCGCCAGCCACCGGGGGCCGACACGACCCGGACTTCGAGCGGGCCTGGCCGCGCCTCATGGATTCGGGCGGGAGCACCCCGCCGCGCAGGGCCGAGCCAGTTGCGTCTCAGCTCACGCCTGGGCACCCCATCGATCGGCTGCGGCGCCTCTGTCTCCTCACCAAGCCAGCCCGACTGCGACGGGCGCAGGCCCCGCTTCAGCCTTCTCAGTGTGCCTCTCTGGCGGTCGACCGCCCTCCTCGGGCACGTGTCCGTGGGGCTCCTGACCCTGGCCGACGCCGCGTTGTACCCGCAAATGGAGCAGACGACCCTCGGGCCCGCAGCGCACAGCACGTGCGTGGGGTGGATGTTGGCATTCCATCATGGGGGCCTGGGCTCGATCTCCTCCTGCACCTCTCCACCGTCACCAGGGGCTCCACCGCCTGGTCCCTCGGGGGCTCCGCCTCGACTGCGAGCTCTGCGACGGCCTCTTCCCCGCGTCCACGTCCTTGCTGGGCGGCACCCTCCGCTCCAGCTCTGGTCCCTCCTCGACGCCCCCCCGGGCAGCTTCGGGGGCCGCTCCGCCTCCGCCTGCGCTCGGGTCTCCCCCCCCGTTCCGATGGTCGCCCGCCAGCTGCGCGATCGGGACGCCGACGGCCGCCGCCACGATGGCTGCTGACGCGTCCCTTCGCCCTGCCGAGCCTTCACCTCCACCGGTCCACGCCTGCTCCCCGCTCTGCCGATCATCCTCAGCGCCAGCGTGAAGTCGGGCGTGTCCCCCTACGGGAGGAAGATCCCCGGTTAGTCAAAAAAGTCTGGGGACCACTGTTCTGCATTTTTTGGCATGTTTGGATTTCTCTTGGGTACAGATCACTTTTCGTCCGAACTCCGCCTGTCTGGGGGACACGCCCGACCTAAGGCCAGCGGCGCGACCACCCTGGATGGCCCCACCCCAGCCCGCGCAGGACCAGCAGCTCTACACTTCGCCCCCAGGTCCGTGATGATGGCCGTGCCGTGGAGATCGCACACTCTCGTTTGGCATGCCTCCTCCTCCTCCCTCCTCCTCCCTCCTCCTCCTTCTCCTTCTCCTCCTCCTCCTCCTCGCCCTTCATCTCGCAGTCCGCTTGCGTCTTCCTCCTGCACCCAGGCCAGTCGCAGCGGATCGCTCCCAGTCGAGGCGCGTTGAAGCCGTCCGTCGCGCTGAGGAGGGCGTCTCAAGCCTGTATCGCCTCCCCGATCCAAGCCGTCAGCTCCCTCACCAAGTCCTCCGCCATTTCCATGCGGCCCAACCGTCTCCGAGCCACTCCGTGAATCTGTGCTCCCTCCTTCGCGCGCTCGTCAGCCGACGTTCCCCACGCGCTGCCTGTCCGAGATGCGGCCCTCGCGGACGTCGTTCTAAGTGCAATGGGCTTCCACCTTGACGATGCTGATGTCCTGCATGTCGTTGATCTCGATCAGCCTCCAGAACTCAATTCACAGCTCCCTGTTCGCTCTTCTCCAAGCAGAGCACCGCCTTCTCCCAGCTCCTCAGTCGCCGTCCACCATGGACGAGTCCGTGTACATGACGACGGGCCCTAGGCAGTTCCTGAGGGCAATGGCCGCAGCCTGGAGTTCCCCTGCTATCCCGAGGGAGCGGCCGGGGGGCATTCCTCCAGATCGCGGTGCGCTCCGCGTCGCTCGCCCACGTGGACACCGCTGCCCAGCCAGCCCTCGGCGGCTGCCTTTCATTTGTACAGATCGCCGAGCCTTCCAAGAAGATCGCCCTGTCCATGAAGATGACGTCGTTGAACGGTACCTGCGCCCCCCATGACGACGACGACGGCGATGTTGCTGATGGTGACGCTAGTGCTGGTAAGGATGCGAATGTCAGCATAATAGTGACGATGGCCATGGCAATCATTGATCATGGTGCCGATGGTGATGAGGACGTGGATGCCGAGGGTGATTATGCTGATATAGTTGATGATCTTGAGGATGAGAATGCTGCTGCTGCTGATGATGATGACGATGATGATGATGATGATGATGATGATGATGATGATGATGATGATGATGATGATGATGATACTGATGATGACGCTGCTGCTGATGATGATGCATAAGATGATGCTGATCATACTGATCATGCTGATGTTGCTGCAGCGGGTGATACTGATAATTATAACGATGACGGCGACGATTATGCTGATATTGATGCTGCTGATTTTGAGGAGGATGAGGAGGACGAGGAGGATGAGGATGATGATGAGGATGAGTATACTGCTGATGATGCTGCTGATGATGATGGTGACGATGATTGTGGTGGTTATGATGATGGTGATGATGATGCTGCTGCTGCTGATGATGATGCTGATGATGATGATGCTGATGCTGATGCTGATGATGGTAATGATGACGATGAAATTGGTGCTGATTATGATGCTTCTAAAATGATGGGGATGATGCTGACTGCGGGGGATGATGATGCTGAGTCTGACGATGATGATGATGCGGTGTTTGCTGCAAATGATGACGATGAAGACGGCGGCTGCGGCGAGGAGGAGGAATACCAGGAGGAGAAGGAAGAGACGGGAGAGAAAAGGATGGGGGAGGATGAGCAGGAGGACATGTGGAGGAAGAGGAGGAGGCGGGGAAGGATTGTGCGGATAATGATATTCATCATGATGTCGAAGCTGATGCAGCTGTTGGCTGATGCTGATCCTGATGCTCATGCTGCTGCTGCTGCTGACGACGCCAATTATAACGAGTATGAAGGTGAAGATGCACATGATAATGATGCTGATCATGAAGATGATGATGATGATGATGATGATGATGATGATGATGATGATGATGATGATGATGATGATGATGATGATGATGATGATGGTGATGGTGATGGTGATTGTGATGGTGATGATGATGATGATGATGATGATGATGAGGATGATGGTCACGATGATGATGATGATGATGATGCTGATGCTGATGCTGATGCTGATGATGATGATGATGCTGATGGTGATGATGATGATGCTTAGGGTGATGCTGATGCTTAAGATGATGATGATTGTGATTATGATGACGATGATGATGATGATGATGATGATGATGATGAGGATGAGGATGAGGATGATGATGATGATGATGATGCTGATGCTGATGCTGATGCTGATGCTGATGCTGATGCGGATGCTGATGGTGATGATGACTATGGTGATGATGTTGATGATGATGATGATGGTGATGGTGGTGGTGGTATGGGTGATTCTGATGATGGTGGTGATGAGATGATGCTGATGCTGATGATAATGCTGATTCTGATGATGATTCTGAAGATGATGACGATGGTGATGACGATGACGATACTGCTGCTGATGATGCTGCTGCTGATGATGCTGATTATGATGATGATTATGATGATGAGGAGGAGGAGGACGAGGATGAGGATAAGGATGATGACGAGGAGGAGAGGAGGAGGAGGAAGAGGAGCAGTAGGAGCATGAGGAGGAGGAGGAGGAGGAGGAGAAGTTGCAGGAGAGGAAGAACACGTCAATGATAATAGAAGAAGTGTTCGAGGAGGCGAAGTAGGAGGATGAGGAGGAGGAGGAGGAGAAAGAGAAGACGAGGCCTTCCCGAGCAAGCTGGACCCGTTCCGGGCGGGGATGCGCCTGGCTTACTACCCCGCGCAGGCCACACCGTTCGCCTCTCCCCTTTCCACGTGTATGAAATGGGCGTTCTGGAACGGGCTTCGCCTGCGAGGGATCCAGAGGTTGCCTCCCCTTCCTCGGTAGGAGGCCGGCGGAGGTAAGACGGAGGCGTGTCCGCTGGCGGACGGCGGCAGCAGGGCCCACGGATCTCGGCGGATGTCAAATCGAGGCGTCAGCATGGTTGGACCCAGGGCTCCTGGTATCTGGATGGAGGGGAGGGACCACGTCGTCGCATTGCGCCCAGTGGCTCCAGTAGCCACCTTGCTGCCGATGCGCGTGCACGACGGCATGCCCATGTCATGCTCGAGGCTCTGCCCCAGTGGTGCCGCAGGCAAGGAAGAAAACACGCCATAAACACAAACTGTTGGTGCTCCGTGCGGGTCTCTTGGATCCGCGCTGGACCCCCCCGGCGGCGCCTCTGGCGCCTCCGGTGCCGCCCCTGGCGCGCTCCGCGCGCCAGGGAGGGGGGTCGGCGCAGATCCAAGAAATCCGCGCGGAGGAGCGCCAAAAGTTTATGTTTATAGCAGTTTTTCTTGTTCTGCGCACTGCTGTTGAAAGTGAACTTGCGCGCGCGAGTGTGCCAGGCAAGGGCCGATGATGCCAGCAACCATGCTAACACGTACTTCGAGTCGCAGTAGCTGGTCTTCCCCGCACTCACGCGAACAGCTGCCTCGGCAGGTATCTGGCCGCCGCGCACAGGAGGCCCAGTCCGGATGTTGGCGACCACGCTGCCCCCTGTCCTTCCTCGTCCTCCTCCTCCTCCTCCTCCTCCTCCTCGCTCTCTCTCTCTCTCTCCTTCCCGTCCTTCTTTTTGATCCCACCCGTGAGTGGTAATGGTACGAGTACCGTTGGCAAGTCCCGGTAGGTGTACGCATCCGCTTGCTCCTGTTCTCACGCTTGTGCTCCTCCTTTCCCTTGCTCTTGTCCCTCCTCTCTCTGGACGTCTATTTGCGATATCATTTTCGTTAGGGCCTCGCTGGCGTTTGGAGTCGAAGCTGTATACAGTTTTTGTTGCGTTGCGGTGACAAAAGATCAGGCTCCCTCTTCAGATGCCCCTACAAGGGTTCATCCCCACTGAGGGAAGTGCCCCGTTGGAAGACAACCGTTTAAGTATCCTGAAGCTTGCCAAAACTCCTTTCTTGAGACTCCAACACCACGAACCAACTTGGCTGTTGCGTCTTGACGAGCCTGAATCGTGCCTGGACACCATTCCTGGGACTTCAACACTGCAAATCAACGTAGCGGTCGCGCCCTGGCAATCTTGAGCCGTTTGAGCATATCGTCTCTGGTACGCTGACCATGGGAATTCGTGGAACTTGGGTAAGCATTTAAGACGAGTGTGCGCGGCGCCGAGGCGAGAGCCACATTTTCAAAACGAGCCGCACTCAATCCGCGAAACTCTTGCAACTTGTTTGAGACGAATGGGCACGGCGCTATGGCGAGAACCACATTTTGAAAAGGAACCGCCCTTCATCCGTGAAGCTTTGCGAATGCTTGAACGACTGTGCGCGGCGCTAAGGCGAGATGAGCTTGTTTGTCATCGCCTTCCCTCCGTAACGCTTGTCACGTGGGGTCCGCCTCCACCCCGTCCGTAACGGTAACGATCGTACGGCGGGCGGTGGCGCGAACACCCACCCTTGCGCGCGGCTGTCGCAGTGTGCACATCGGCGGCGTAAACAGGCGCTGTTGTGCACGCAGGCGCTGTGGTGTACACCGGCGCTGTGTTGCACGCGGCTGTTGTGGTGTACGCAGGCGCTGGGGTGACAATAGAAGATGATGTTCCTCCCTCCCCCCGTCTTGCTCTACTCACAGGCCCTGGTTGTTCTCGCAGGCCACCGTCGTGCTTGCACAGCGCGGTGCTCTCAGGCTATTGTCTTGTTCACCGCAAAGGAATGCAACAGAGCGGGGAGGAAGCAGGCACCAGACAGAAGATTGCATTCTTCCACGCCTCGACGTGCCAGGGGGCCTGGTGGCGGATCAAGCGGTTGCTGGCGACTTGAACACAAACATTCGGAGAGCCGCGCGGATTTCTGGATCGGTGCTGGATGCGCTCTCCTGGCGCAGGGGGCAGGGCCTGTCGGTCGGGCCCCAGGGCTCTCGGAGACGGGCCCTCGGTGCGAAATCATGGTGCAAGGTCGGGCCGGGAACTTCTGGTTGCGCAGATCGCTCAAGCTTGGAAGATCCACGCGGTGTCGGATAGCAACGTCCTCGCGAGTCCTCCTACCTGGGTGCTCCAGAGGCTCCAGGGCGTCGTCGATCGTCGTCGTGTGGCTCGAGGGCCTCCTTGGCTGAAGTATCTTGGCCTCTTGCTGCTGCTCCTCCTGCTTCTCCGGCGTACATTCCTGCCAACGCCGTTCTGCGCGCCCCCGGGCCGCGTGGTGTGCACGGGCGCGGTGCTGCATGCGGAGGATGCCGCAACAGCTGCAGCGGTCCCAAATATTAAGGTGTTTGCAGGCAGGAGACCGCGCCCAGGCCGGCAAAAGTCCATACTCACAAATCACTGACGCATTGTTTTTGATACGCTCGGCCCCCCCACGGTGGCATGGTGTACGCGTGCGCTCTAATGCACGGTGGCCTCTGTGACTGCTGTGCGCACGGCGCTCTGGTGCACGCGGGCGCTGCCTGCAGGCTACACAGGCGCTGCGGTGCACGCGCACGGCTGCAGCAGTACACGCGGCAACGGCTCTGTGATGCGCGCGGCTGTTGTGATGTTCGCGTGCCATGTGGTGTACGCAGGCGCTCTGGTGCACACGGGCACTGCGGTGGACACAGGCGCTGTGATGTACACGGCTGCTCTGGTGTACACGGGCGCTGCGATGTGCACAGGCACTGTGGTGCATACAGGCACTGCCGTGTGCACCGGCACTGTGTTACACACGGCTGCTCTGGTGTACACGTGCGCTGCGGTGTACCGAGGCGTTGTGGAGCACGCAGGCACTGCAGTATGCACAAGCGCTGTGTTGCACACGGCTGCTGTGGTGTACGCAGACGCTGCGGTGTGCACGGGCGACGTGTACAGGCGCTGCGGTGCACGCGGGCCCCCCCGCCGCCACCCTCCCCCCCCCGCCCCCACCCCAATTGTTACCATTACCCCCTCCCCGCTCCCCCCCCCCCCCGGTGCAACGGACGTTGCGGGCCAAGGATAAATTAGCCGGACGGAAGACCCAACCATATGCAGCTGCGAGAACCGCGAGGGAGGAGCGAAGGAGGAGGGCACGCAAACCCCGAATAGCGCACGCGGTATACCCTCTGCTCTCATAGGCAGCGCGCCGCAGGACGAACGAGGCGCGGGGCAGTGCTGGCAGGGGGGGGGGGGGCGAATGGGTGGAACGTGTGCGAACTGTCAGTGGAGCTCCCCATGGGCCACGAGGCGTGTGATGGGTGTGCCGAAATGGGCGGGGTGGGTGGGGGGCGCATGCGAACGACGCCGCTGGGGCCTTCGGTGGAGCTCCTTATGGGGCTACGGAGCGTGTGAGGGGTTTGCCGACATGAGTCGGTCGGACGCATGCGAACGTCGCCACTAGGGCCTTAGGTGACGTTCCTTGTGGGGTACGAAACCGAAACGTGTGAAGAGTGTGCCGCAATGGGCCAGGCGGACGCATGTGGCCGCGCCCGCTGGGGTCTTCGGTGGAGCTCCGTATGGGGCCACGAAATGGGTGTGGCAGACGCATGTGGCCACCGCTGCTGGGGCCTTATATGGAGCTCCCTACGGAACAACGAAGCGCTGTTCAGAGTCTGACGGCCACACCCACCGGGGTCTTCGATGGAGCTCCCTATGTGGCCATGAAGCGCTGTACTGGGTGTGGCGGACGCATGTGGCCACCGTCAGTGCGGCCTTCGGTGGAGCTCCCTGTGGGGTCACAAAACGCTGTGCTGGGTATGGCGGTGGAGCTCCGTATGGGGCCACGGAGCGCTGTACTAGGTGTGGCGGACGCGTGTGGGCACCGCCACTGGAGCCTTCGGTGCAGCTCCCTATGAGGCCACGAAGCGCTGTATTGGGTCTTCGGTGGAGCTGCCGATGGGGCCACGAAGCGCTGTATTGGGTGTGGCGGACGCATGCGGCCCCACTGGGGACTGGGGTGGAGCTCCCTATGTGGCCACGAAACGAATCGCTGTATTCGGTGTGGCGGACGCGTGCGGGCATTCATGTTGGGGCCTTGGGCCTTCGGTGGAGCTCCATGCGAGGCCACGAAGCGCTGTATTGGGTGTGGCGGACGCATGCGGTCCCCCCCCACTGGGGACTTCGGTGGAGCTACTATGGGGCCACGAAGCGCTGTACTAGGTGTGACATACGCTTGCGGGCACCCCCATTGGGGCCTTCGGTGGAGCTTCCGATAGGGGCCACGAAGGGCTGTACTGGATGTGGCAGACGCATGCGGCCACCCCCACTGGGGCCTTCGGTGGAGCTCCCTATGGGACCACAAAACGGTGTGCTGGGTGTGGCGGACGCATGTGGCCACATTCACCGGGGTCTTCGGTGGAGCTCCCTATGGGGCCACGAAGCGCTGTATCGGGTGTGGCGGACGCATGCGGGCACCCCCACTGGGGCCTTCGGTGGAGCTCCCTGTGGAGCCACGAAACATGTCAGGAGTGTGCCGAAATGGTTCTGGCGGACGCATGTGGGTACCGCCACCGGGATCTTCGGTGGAGCTCCCTATGGGGCCACGAAGCGTGGGAGGGGTGTGCCGAAATGTGTGTGGCGGACACATGTGGGCACCGCCACTGGGGACTTTTGTGGAGCTCCCTATGAGGGTCACGAAACATGTGAGCTGTGTGCCGACATGGTGGTCATGCGGAGAGCAGAGGCAGGGATGGGAGGACGGAGGAGGGGGAGGAGGAGGAGTGAGGAGGAGGAGGGAGGGAGGAGGGAGGGAGGGAGGACGGAGGAGGGGAAGGAGGGAGGGAGGGAGGGAGGAGAGGGGGAGGAGGAGGCAGGAGGCCGCGGGGCGCTGTCTTTTCAAAACGAGGACCCAACACCACAG